CCCCTAACATTCTGTGATTCTGTGATTTCTAAGGTCCCTTCCAGCTTAGGCTATGCTATGATTCTATGATTTAAGCTTCTAGAAAAATGAAATAGTTGAACAGCTCTGGATTTCCAATTTTGCAGTACAAAATAAACAGGGATGGTATTCAACTGCAAGCTTACAGAACGGCCATTTTCCAACATTTGCTGCATCAGTCAGATGCATTCAGTGATAAAGCTCTGTAATCTGAACGATTTCTATTAACTAACACTTCCCCTCCTTGCAACAGTATCAGCAAATGAGATTCATTGCTCTGGTTCTGGCCCAGAACATTATCAAATATCATATAGAATAATTACCTTACTTAATCTAAAAGCCTTTTTTGATTCCAAAGCAAAGAGAAAAAAATTAAAGACAGGTAATATTTCAAAATATTTGATCATCGTTGGTTTAAAGCAATAACTGCACAGGAATATACTTGTTTCCTCCTTTCAATTGCTTTGTATAAAGATTTCCACAAGATGGTGCTGTAGCCCTACCCTAGAAAGAATACCTATTTTCCATCAAATTGCCATAGCATTTGGAAGCAAAACTCACTTCATTTTATTGTTAGGATAACGAATAGTGATTTGCAACATTTATTTTCAGTGAAGGAGCAAAACATGTTCACATCATCTAACCTTCCAATTTTTTTTGTAAATTATTTTTAATAACTAGAAAAGTAAGTTCTATTGAAAAAGTCCAAAGACACTCAACTAAAGTTTATATAACATAATGGATCACCTTATGGCCTTTAGTTTATATGTAAAATAAAGACAATTTATATATAGAAAAAACCCACATAACTATTGTTAAAACATATAAACCAATTCTTACAGCATAATGTCAAACAGCTGCTTTCGTCTTCATTTGCAAACTCTGCCAAAAAAATCCACTGATTTTGTGATATCAAACTCCAAAAATCTTTTCACATAAAGTGAGCAGCATTATAGCACAACAAAGCCTTAACATAACAGGCTACCAATTTACACAGAGTACAAAATAAATAAATAAATCTGACAAAGCGTCGCACATCTCTGGCATAATTATATAATGTTTACGGAAGTCTTACATCTACTTATATCTCTAAAGAGAAATTTTAATACAGCTTCAAATCATAAAAACCTTGTGTACCTTTTATACTGGATGGTCTCCATCTGTGCTGCTGGTCTTAAAACGTGTTGGGTAAGAGCACTAAAACACTCAACACATCTCTTGCAGCCGAAATCTGTGGACTTACTTGCACATTTTAGCGTTTAGGATCAAACTGACCCTCACTCTGTCAGCGTTAATGGAAGCCATAATGTGCTGGTGCTCTCCAGCTCAATGTGAAAATTTATACTTTTTAAAAAGTCCTCGCAAAAAAAGAGTACGTATTTGAAATTGTGTATTTAAGTCTTCATTAAGACTTATTCAACAGTACACACGGTAAGATGGTATGTAAGAAAGCCTCTTGGGTGTAATATGCAAGTCCCAGCTGGAACGTTTCCAACAGGATGTAAACCACGGTCCTCAAGCCTGCACTTTAAAAAACATATTACTTAGCACACTGCTAACAAATGTCAACACAAAAATACATTGCTGTAATGACTTCACTTTACAAAAGAGGTGGGGGGAGGAAGAAGCAATTTGAGCAGTATTAAAAGAAAAAATTTGGGCTGGGGGGGCAGAGAAATCAATACACAGGTGCACTACAAAAATATTTATTTAAAGAAATAAAAGCACTGGTAATCATCACAAATTGGATAGATTAAAAAGTTAATGCTGTACAAACAAACATATTAGTTCTGATACCCATAAATCTACAAAGATCAGGTCTGAAGACCTTCGCTTTCAGGTCTTCTCAGAGGCGTTGCTTGATGTTTTCAACAATTCCGAGGTTTCTTCAATTCTGCAAATAAACTTTGGTTACATACACACACTTGTTAAAATATGGTAAAAAAAATAACTGACTTGCCTTTAACTTTTTAATGAATGAAAAATGCTAACAAGGAGCATGAAACCTTAAGTTTCCTCTCATCCCCTCTGTTTCTCTGCAGTTGGTTTGGATTTTAGACACCTACCACATATGAATACAATTTCAGTAAACCTAAAAAAAGTAACTCACACAATAAAATGACAAAAAAAGCCGACAGCTTTTTTCAGGACAGGCACTTAGAGAGTGGAAATCTCTTCCTAAAAAAACATTTTAAAGCAATACAGTTCTCTTCAAATGTAAGAGAAATATTTCTTATTAAAAAAATTCATGATAGATCTCAGGAGTAGTATCAAATACGCTTCAACACAGTTATCACAAGGCTTAGGCTGCAGTTTGGTTTACTTCTTAAATAATTAAAACAGAGTTAAGATGTTGTCATTATTTTTTCAGAAAGAAACATTGCAAATATCAGGGAACTCCTATCAAAAGATAAATATTCTTATTCCGTGTCAATCAGCTTCTAAACTCTCTTTAATCTCTAGTTAATACTATTAAAAATGCTTTCTATTGCTTTTTGGAAACCAAAAAAGTGACTCATCCCACAAATACAGAACTGTAAGTGGATTTATTATCCAGTGGAGTCATAAGGAAATGCCACACCTGATGTAGAGACCTTTGAGGTTTGGAACACATATGTACATTCTCTATATGCCTGGGTCCAGTACAACTCCCTCCTGAGAAATGAACCCCTTCCTATTACTTACATTTTACTTATCCTTTCCATTCTTTGCCTTGTTGTCTCCTGCAATTTAAAAGCAACAAAGTTAGTGAACTCTTCAAAGGTAACATTCTTCAGATGGACTTTCAACCTGAAAAATTTGTGACTTTAAGCACTGTTTACGTATCAAAAGCAATTTTATGAGACAGAGCTAGATGTAGTTTTGCATAGTTTCTTTGTTTTCACTAGCAGTATATACAACTAAAAGGAATGCTTACTTGTTCTCTTGACCTCAGAAAGGAAATCAGCTACGCATTTGCCATTTTCACTTACCTTTGAAACTTCTGTCAGATCATGAGAATTAATGGTCATGGCTTTGGGAGATGGGTCTGTGGATAATAGCAAACTATATCCAGACAACTGATGAAGACTCTCTGGCATCTCCTCCTTCCTTTCTGTACCTATGAAGAAATACTCATTTTTTGTGTCACCTTTGACTTTTTGCTCTCATTTTGCAAGGTCAGCTATCAAATAGCTTGATTTACTGTATGTAATAACAGAAGAGAATGCATTGTTTAGAGTGGGGAAAAAGAAAAGCTACGGTGACAGTCCAAAATAGGTTTCTTATTTTCTTAAAACAAGGTAAGTAGAGCATACTACAGATAACACACACAAAATAAATGCCAAAAAGATTACTAAGAATGCTTTCTTTATCCTGACTACAGTAAAATTGGCACTTAAAGTCTAATTCCTGGTCAAACATTTAATAGCAATTTCAAATAGTTTACATTATTTTTACTGTAAACTGCCTGTTCAAATATGTCTTTAATTTGCGCCAAGTAACCTGATTTATAAGCACCAGAAATACAAACTAAATCATCACTTTATTGTTTAGCTTAGTATATGTATGAAGCTCCTGCTGTTTCCCAAGGTCTCCTCTTGCTGGGATAGGCTTAGCACCTACTCAGCAGAAACAGACTTGTATTTAACACTGGGGATGCTTTGATACTATTTCCAATTTTAGAATGCTATTGTCAGGCAAGACAATTTAGTATTTAGAGAAAAAGTGTTCCCATACTCTCATTTTTAACAAGGCCACCATGTATAGATCATACCTTTGGAAGCGGTTTTGCTGCACTATTCTGTATTTAAGATCACATTCAATTATTTTAAGCAGTTAAAATTAAAAAAATGGTTTCTTCTGTACAGCTGCGATTCCTGAAGAGCATTACAATCAAAAAGAGCACAAAAGCCTTCTGAGTACTGTACATCTCAGATAGAAGAGTTAGACTGGTTGCATAACCTGAATGCCTAAAATCCCCTGAATCGTATTTTAGAAAAACAGAAGTAACAGATCCAGGAGAATTCTAGAAATCTGAAAATATGAAAAATCTCTTTTAAAGACCATCATACTGCTTGCTGACAACAAAAGTCTTTGAGTGTCAGCACTGTACCCCTAAACTTACAAAAGAAAGTAAACATGTTGCAAGCTTTCTATGGTCTGTAAAGAGATCCCATTTGCGAGACTTCAAAATTAAAACAAACTGACAGAAGAAACTGCCTTCTAGATTAAATGGAAACTGGATTACTGAGATTCCCTTTTGATTTCAGTGCAACAACCCAATACTGGACAAAACCACATAATAAATGAGAATGGGAAATAGAATATCCTCCTTACTACTGGTGTAAGGAGTAACAGCTGCCATATGGAAACAGGTCAAAATAACAGGAAAAAAAAAAATTAAGGTAAGGGTCAAGAAGTTACCACTAAGGAAGAGACAATAACTGCTTATGGCCCACTAATTTCTTTCCCACTTCAGGCTATTTCATTTACTTCTTGTACATTACCAAAATTAAGTTGGAAATGGAAGAAAATGATTCTGTCTTGCTCTTCAAAATAAGGAAGTTTAGCAAAAATGCTAGTTGGATAAGCTAACCGCTTCAAAGGGGATGAAGCTTCAAAGGGGATGTCCCTCTGTACTCAGCACTGGTGAGGCCACACCTCAGTTTTGGTCACCTCAGTATAGGAGAGATATCGAGGTGTTGGAGCGAGTGCAGAAGAGGGCAACAAAGCTGGTGAAGGGCCTGGAGAACAGACCTTAAGAGGAGCGATTGAGGGAGCTGGGTCTGTTCAGTTTGACGAAGAGGAGGCTGAGGGGGGATCTCATCATGCTCTACAGTTACTTGAAAGGACATTGTAGAGAGGTTGGTGCTGGTCTCTTCTCACAGGTAATTAGGGACAGAACCAGGGGGAATGGTTTCAAGTTGCAACAGGGCAAGTTTAGGCTGGACATTAGGAAGAAATTCCTCACAAAAAGAGTGGTCAGACACTGGAACAGACTGCCTAGGGAGGTGGTTGAGTCGCCATCCCTGGATGCGTTCAGGTGTCGTTTAGATGTGGTGTTGGGTGATATGGTTTAGGGGTGACCTTGTAGTGTAGGGTTAATGGTTGGACCTGATGATCTCAAGGGGCTTTTCCAACCTGAATTGTTCTATGATTCTATATACAGAGAATG